AAGAGAGGTTGTAGTCCAACTGAAATGAGAGAGCATGCAAGAAGCTGGGTTTGTACAAGGAAACAATTTACGATTCACACACAAAGACGAAAAACGACTGCCCATTACCTTCACAACAATTGGTGAACAAAATAGACAATTTCACGCAAGAGTGGAAGTGGATCATTCTGTTACTGAGCTCACTATTATTTATAAACAGTTAACGAGAGGACATTTTGCAGAAAATGAAAATAAAACTAATACATGATGATGCCGCCTATAATTTCCATTCTAAATTTTGGAAAACGGCCTACTTCGTTCATGAATAAGAAATACTCACGAACTCAGTAATGGATAGACGCAATCTCACTTTTGAGTGGGGTCACTGGCGTGGAAGGATCCACGGTAATAAAAGAAAAGGGCCTTAAAGGAACAGACATTATTGAATTTTTGATGGCCCAGTAAGCATTTCTAGTCTAGGCTATAATGTTATTGTATCCTTGGGAAATTACACATAGGGTTCCATGGCCAATTTGGCAAAGTGTTATTTGCTTCTACAAATTAGCTGTTTGAATAAACGTCTACAACCCCTTTAAATTTCAACGAATATACGATCTTTTTATGTGTGTGTTCGATTTGGAATATAGACAACCTGGTTACATTAGCGTACCTGTTCCGACCGAACTCGGGCAAACCACTCGGAAGATGCGCAAAGAAACGTATCCTTTGCTCATTGAACACTGCACGTAATGTCACAAAATTTCTAAATTGATACGTTGCACAAAGCACAGCCGGAATCATATGAAACGACAACTCTACAACTATTTGATTTGCCGCATGGCAACATGCAGCCCACGTAATGGTGGCCTGATGGCCTGACTGGTCCATTTTATTAAATTAATAAACCTCCAAATAGTGGGGAGCCGTCCATAAAGGACGTAAGCACGAAATGCCGACTTTTCAAACCCCCACGCAAGCTTCTAAGAGTTCAACCACCGTTCAACCATAGGTTTGTGCACAAACATGGATGCGCCCAGCAGGCATCACTTTGTACAGGTGTCAGTGCTCTAGTTTTTATAGATAGCTCTATGAGATGAAGTCAAAGCCGTGTGTGAATCGGCTATCATGTCTATCGAGTCGGTTTTTGCCTTATAAGCGCGCCTTGGGGAACTGCAGCAGAAGCCGTAGTCTTCATTGTCCATTTTGGACTTGGCCTAAGGCTCAAGGCTTTGGGACTACACTTCCCGAATGTCTAAGTGTTGACAATACCGAAACTGAAAACATGTATACGTTTTTTTCTCTCTATCTCTTAAAGGCGGGATGTCGAAATCAACTTTCCTCCTTTTCTTGGTGCTTGTTGCCATTGCAACCTTCCTTCCAGCGTCATCTGCGGACAAACCCATAGGTGGCGACCCCTTGGAGCAAGACGATGGCTTTCTCGGCAAGTTGCGTCGTAGAGGCGACGCCAGTATAACGCCACAGCTGACCAAGAGGGCGTCCGACATATGCATCAACGATTGTCTCACATGCGGCCAGATTTTCCGTCTTCACGCTTATTCGCAGGTCAACTGTTTAGGCACTTGCAGAATGTTTCCTTCACACAGAGACCCCGAATGTCAGGAGCACCGATTGGGCTAAATTGCTACTTCACAGAAATTTACCAACAGTCAAAATGGTTCTTGAAGACGACGTAGGCTCAAATCAAATCTAATAAAAGTGACTTCTAGTTTATTCTGACAGTATATACCTCCTACTTCTTTGTCAGGTCAAACATCTGAGATGGCCTCTAGACAAATTTTCGACTTTATAATTTTGCCTTATCAAAGCCACAATAAAAATGTGAACCATGTAACGATTATATAGGAAAAGAGAGGCCTTTACATTTTATGTCTTAAAATTATTTTTAAGAATGTCTAAAAATTTCAAATCAAAGTTGGGAGTAATATGCCAAAATATACATTGTGTTGGAATGATATCCTGAAATGTGCAATTTACTTACAGCCTAAAGTTTATTTCACGAAAAGTGGCTATTGGATGATCTTGTGTTCTTAAAAGTCACAAGTTTTTTCCGTTGATATGCCACAAGGCGATTACACGCAGTTAGAAGTTAATTGTAACATCAATGAAATTCATAGCTAACACGATTTTATTTCTGTAAACCGGAAAGAGAAACAAATATCTGCTCATTTGTCCATACGATCACAAGAAAGTTAGAATGATATTCGATTTTTGGTACTCACATGATTGTGTTTACACAACGAATGTGGAGGGCACATGGTCGACATTTACATTGGTTTATACAGCGAATATCGATACTCGACATAGGTTTGTTATTGTTTTCCTGCGCATGCGTGGGTTCTGTTGAATTTTCAGATATCAACTTGGGTTTTTCCAGCAATTCAGTAAATGTTCAATTACATTTTCAACATAAACAGTTCTGCCCGGTTTTGCACGTAATTCCAGTTATATGCACAACATGCTTCTGATCATTTGTTTGCTCGTCTCCCCCAGAGGGGAGGGGTTAGACCTTTTTAAAAGGGTAGGAGAGGACTCTTTCCCTTAATATCTCAGCTGTCACATAAATTCGACGTACAGGTTTGTATATTTGTTGTGAGTATATTTATGAAGTTCTAATTGGAAATATTTGTGACGTTGTGATGACGCCATCAAAAAGTTGATTTCTTGCAAAAAAACAGGATAATAGTGGATCACCCCCGTAATTCGGGGTAGGGCCTACGTAGTGGACAAGCCCTGCGTGCTCATATCAAGTACATAACAATGTTGTCATCGTGTGATTGAATTTCAATTGTTAACGTTTATTAATTTCTTCTATTGTAACCCTGTGTTTACATACAATTGACTTATAACCTCAAAATATACATAATTATAATTCCATTTCGCCCTACAGTAGTTCAAAATGACGTCATCAAGTGATTGTTCATATTGCACGTTTTACTTCTCGTGTAGCATATTTAAGATAAGGTCCAAGATACAACTGTCATAAAAATTGATGTGAATAAAGATAATCACTAATCTATTAAGCACATCGAGTGGCGTTTTGGTGAAATTGTGTGATTTTTGTCAATCTCAAAGGTTTTACTACTTGTAACAGTACTGCGTTGCTGCTGACATATATACAGAACGACAACGCACGCCGCACCTACATAGTCCCTAACAATGAGGATACAAACGCGATTAGTAGTTTTACATGTGACTGGGTAATACTTAAAGCAAATGCGAAAGCCAACCGAATTTGATGTCAGCAAACTTTTTGCCGCGGACTTTGCTAAACTGAGTTAGCAACTTGTAAATGTGCAGGGGGAATTGATCTAATGTCACATTATCGCGTCCGTGTTCGCTTTTGCGCGAAGTATGAACCGGCCTTCATGTTTCACGAGCAGTAAAATAATTATGACAAGGTGTCAAGCAAAGATAATACTAGATTATTCTGATTAGATGTGGTGGCACCGCACTCGACTCACACCTACATTTTTTTTTCAGCTTGACGCGCGCGTACATTTTTGCAAAACACGACACCCGATTGGTCAAAGAGGCATTTAAAGCGCGCGAACCTGTTCACGAGCGTGGGAAAAATTGGTTTGGTCCAAGTGGCGTTTTTTATTTAGCTGTTATGTCCGACATGCATCGGGCAATGTGAAAACTATTCAACATGACCAACGCAAGAGCGGATCCATGCCATAGGGATGAAGAGGGGGGCTGGTGGCACAAAATGAGGGGATTTCTTTATGTAATCTTACACGCTTTTAAAGAGGATAGGGAAGGTGCATCGCTAGAGGGCGCATCAGCAGAAAGGTTTAGCTTTTATTAATTAATGAACAATACGGCTGGTACACTAACTTAGTGTTACAGTTTCTGCAGCTCTGATAAAATTGTGTTGAAAAGGTGCTGTTATTGAGGAATCTTTGATTATACTGTAAATAGGTCGATTGATGACGTTAATTTCACACCTTCAATAGCACATTGTCTCAACTTCGTACTGGTTTCACTTAACTTTTGACTACACGTGGGGCCACAACACCCTCAACGAAATGGCAAGCAGTATTACATAATGTAGGCTTAAAACATTGTGACATCATAATGCTTTGTTTAAACATGTGCTCTCCTGTGGAGCTCAGTATGGTCGCATACCATCAGACTGCCATAGGACATGTAGGAAAGCGCACAATGATGTAAACGATGCGTGACGTCATTTGTTTTGAGACTATTCAACCTCCTGCTGAATTCTTTGCTCTGATCTGGAAAAACAGGTGGTGTGTTATTTTTTACAGATCAACAGTAGGTTTTACGAGGGAACTAACTCACCACTTGCCTACTGTACCTCCATACCGTACCACCCTTTCCCCTGACGACTTATTTGACACAAATGCGAAAATCAGACTACACATCAAGGCATCGGATATCCCTCTAGACCATCGTAAAGTTCACAAAATAAATGTGTTTGTCTGAGAAGTCGATGCAAAAGCTAATGAATATCGAGACAAGTGACAGTAAAAGATGTCGCATTTTTATTTGCTTGCGCCCTCAACGCATATAGTGATAACATCGAGTCAAAAAACCACCAAAATCACTTCTTAAAAAGTGAAGATTTCATAATGATAAGGTGGCTTCTTGCCTTTTTATTTTGATATGTCGTCAGTTGTATATATGACTGCAAATAACACAAATATTGTTCAGCGATAATTAGTTCTAATAATATTTTCTCAATCCATCTAACATTCTCTTCGTCCATTTTATGGATGGAACCATTTATGTAAATCTGTTGCTGTTTGGACATGTCTTCCTAGCAGCTACCCCTCAAGTTCCCCCCCCCCAAAAAAAGAAAGAAAAGTTTAGTGTATCGGTGCGCCCTCTATTGACCCAAATCTGTTTCACATATTCTCACTGGTAATCATTATGATTACATCGGTACTATTATAGTTTGATACCAGCTATCATTCTCGGGTCGTTTCTATGGTAATGCCGGTGTGCGCATGCGTATTGCTAGCCTCAGTAGATAATGTCGCCGGTGCGTTTTTCGTGTGTTATCGTCTACTTTGTTGAATAAAAAAGCTTAAATTTTGTCAGTCCTGGTGAGTAATTGTACAAACTATCTATGTTTTAAATTAAAATATAGTTTCAGGATCACTTTTATTTGTCATTTTGTACGTGAAGTGAAACCCATCGCTAATAAATTTGTTATGAATTGAGTGTCAACCAATGGCGCGCGCTGACGGTCCGGAGCGAAACTGAAGCGGGAAACGCTGTGCTTGGATACCGTGTTGCGACGCGCCAGCTCCCTTGGACAAGTATGAAAACACGCTGTGGACGCCTGAGCTTTAGGCACTGTCGAATTGAACTTGGAGTCTTGGCCCTCGTTTGCGCTTCGGCCAGTTTTAACTTTATCCTTTATATTTGTTAAAAAATTTCTTTCCTGCTTGTATTTCCTTGCCAAGTTACTGGCTTACTATTTTCATGTCTGAAGTTTGGGTAGGTTTTGTACCCAGCTCCCTGGCCAAGAGGGCTGGGGGAGGTTGATGCAAATTACTATTATATATAAAAATAAAATGGTGTGATAGATTTGTCTTGAAACTGAATGCCTGTGGGCAACAGTGATTAAGTTAACTGTTTGAGTTCTTGTTATCATGTGTATTTGTATAGGGCCTAGGCCTATGCCTACTAATTTTAATGATGGCAAATAAATAATAATAACTTGATCTTTGTAAAAAAAATAATAAAGTAGGGGAAAGAATGCTTCATAAGCATTATCGCTAATACCGCATAGATGATTTTGCAAAATGTTAGGCATTGTGGGGAAGAAAAAGGGACAATGTTAAAAAGGTACATTGGAGTATTATGGAATTTCTAACATTTGTTATTATAAATTTGGGGACCCTATTCCTATAATAGAAGGGAGACCTACATTTTAACTTTTGAATTCACCTTGGGAGATGACTGTGACATAGTGCTCAGTAACTGTAGGGTTAATGTCAAAAAGGACAGGATTTTGAGTTTTGATGGAAATTATGAGGGGAAACTGTGAGTGTTTTAACATGACACATGGCATGCATGGTGGACTCAAATTTGCATGGCTAGTGTATCACTAAGAAAGTCACCTATTCTCACAGTTTACGATTTGAAATTTCCAAAGAATAGCATCAGTGCAATAAAGAGCGTGTTGCCTTTGTTTTGGGGGGCTTGCATGTGCAAGATTAAATTGTCAAAAAACTGGGGTCCCCAAGTAAGGAATAAGGCCGGAATACCAGTGGTTTGCCAAGTGCTATCGTAAACTTGTACATATACAGGGAATATTTTGGCCATGATTTGTTTCATTACTTACATGTCAATGCCAAACAAGACCTTTGACATTCTGAAAACCATACAGCCATCCATTGTATTGTAGACCAGGTATCTCGGTCAATAAAGTGCATGGATTCTGAAGATTGAGGGACTTTATTTGGTTGAAATTAAAATGAGATACCGATATTTATTTGTACTTAGGAATAAAAACCCTATTCAAGGTACATGTAGGCCTTCGTCCGGCAGTAAACATGTTTCTGCGTTCTATTACATGGCATCTTTAATTAGGTTAGGTACATGTACCTTAGGTACATGTACATGTAGATGTATTCTTGCGCTAATTCAGTGTGCAGCTAAGTGGGAAGTGGTTAAAAAGAACATCATCAAGAGAGGTTGGGTGGTATTGGTTTCAAATGAAATGACCAACTCTTCAAAGGGTACTAGGTGGGTGCATAAATAAGTCAGTTGAACCTTTTTGCACCATATTCAAACTAAAATTGACAATTTTTACTTCTTTATTACCAATTCTCATATTTCCCAACAAAAACCTTAAGGGTCACGCCAACAACTTAGGGTACTGTAGGCTGGGAAACAGGAAGCGTAACAATTGTGGTCTTATGTACTCTGTAATGGTGTTATAAAAACCTATCCTTTTTTTGGTTTTGGCTTCACTGATCTTATTCACATGCATGTTCATGTATTTGTTTTCTACATGTAGCGTCACTGTGACTACTGACGTAGCCATCATTTTTCTCAATCTGCTTGCATGATGCATGCTTGAAATTTACTTTTTGCTGCAAACACTTTCAACTCATTCCCTTCTTGTTTTTCCGTCATTGAGCAGTTTCCCACATCACTAACATCACTAACCACCCATCCATATTTTCCCCTCCTTTCCTTTCTTTTACTAACACAGTACATCAGAGCAGTGTTCTTTTAGCCAAACAGCGTTTAGACTAGATCAGGATTTTTCAATCCACCTGTTAGCTAGAAGCAAAGTCACCATTTTGCCCTTTGAGTACAGACGGCCACCCTCTGACCAGAAGGGGCGTGAGAGACCTGGCCCAGTCAGAGGGAAGAAGGCCAAAGACAGTAGGCCATCAGAGGCCGACCAAGAGAACGGGCCAGTGAAGGCCACAGGGGCCAGCCGGCCAGAAAAGGGAGGGTCCAATAAGAGCTTTCTCCGCAAGGTGAAAAGGGCAGTCTGCCTTTGTGAGCCGGATGTCATCGAGTCCGAGACAAACCTTGTTGGTGAGGTCGAGGGTCACCCCACTTCTCCCAAGACCCAGACCGCCAACCCTGATGACAAACTCCAGCCGCAAGCCACCAAGGACCCTTCACAGCTCCGTGAGGAGGTAGAGAAGATCACCCAGACCTTCAACCCCACCCTTGCCAAGAAAATGCGGGAAGTGGACAAGAAGCTGGCCAAGAGAGCAGCCAAGAGAGCAGCCCGAGCCGAGGCCGCGCGGAAGGAAAAAGAACGACTGGAAAACATCCGATGTGAGAAGGAACGAAAGGAGAGACTGAAGGAGGCGAGGAAGCAGAGGAAGGAAGCCGCAAAGCTGGAGAAATTGGAAAAGAAGAAGCAACGCAAGGCCAAGAAGATAGCTAAAGAGGCTCGGCGTGCTGAAGAAAACCTTGATCCCATCGCAAGCAATGGCAAGGGTGATTCCATCTCCAAGAGAGAGAAAGAGAAGATTTCACTGTATAAGAGTTTTGGTAAGCTTCATAAAGTACAAATTAACCCTACTTCATGATTAAACTGGTGTAGGCTATTGACTCCATGCACAAACGCAAGAGGTTGCTTTATTCTCCACAAGCCTGAGTGACTTGTACAAGTATGTTGCATCTCAATGTGCTTCACCAGATACATGTACATGTAACTCTTGGATTCATGTACATATATGTTCATGTACGTCTAACGTACATGTATAATGGAGGATGAGACTTGCCTAACACAAGGTCTATGCTATCTTGTTCCTAGTCCCTCCACTGCATTCTACCATTGACAAATGAGGGATTGGATGCAGTCTAGAAATTTTGGTGGACTGTTCTGTACAAAATTCAAATGAATGTTGAATATGTTCCACAGAGTCGGCTCTTCCAAGTTGGGGGAGTTTAGATTCATACGTGTAAGTATAGCTTTTTCTTCATGAAGTGACAGCCTACTCGCATACATAGATGAAGTGACAGCCCGCTTGCATACATAGATGAAGTGACGGCCCGCTTGCATACATAGATGAAGTGACAGCCAGCTTGCATGTATACATAGATGAAGTGACAGCCCGCTTGCATACATAGATGAAGTGACAGCCCGCTTGCATACATACATGTAGATGAAGTGACAGCCAGCTTGCATACATAGATGAAGTGACAGCCCACTTGCATACATAGATGAAGTGACAGCCAGCTTGCATACATAGATGAAGTGACAGCCCGCTTGCATACATAGATGAAGTGACAGCCTGCTTGCATACATAAATGAAGTGCAAAGTTGTACATGGAGCTGAACATAATGGACTTGAGAAGCAACAAAACACTAACGGCCATGGTGAAAAAAGTTCTTCAATGTTGACATGCTGTCTTGTTCAGAGAGCTCACCTACATGTATGCTTTTTAGTGGTGTTTGCTGAGATACATCACATAACATACATGTATAAACAGTTGTCTGTCCATTGTTATTTACTTCACAGGATCTTCTCTGAATTACATTTAAAGTTAATCACAAAGTTCATTTGCAGGAATGATTCATTTAAAACTTGGCCAGCCTTGGAAGACCGTTCTGTGCACATTTCATTTCATTCCTTCCCTCCTGCACTAACTCATTATTTTCCTTTGCTGTTCTCATTAATATCATATTCTCATTTGCTGTTGAACTGACCCATCTGAGCTTTGTAGTCCCCTGGAATTGGAACCTGCGTATTTTCGCTCGCTCCTTTTTGCAGATGATATAGTCTAGGTGTATGATGGATAGTGGTTTAGAGCTTTTGTAAAGGGCTTAACCTATTCAGAGTATTTCTGATATGTCATCAATACTAGGACCTGTTTTGTAGCAGAGAAAATTAATGCTGGAATTATGTACACATTTAATGTGGATTTGTTATCAAGTGATGTAGGGCTTGGCTCTGTGTACACGTACTGTATGTCAGCAGAATTGTCATGTGATTTGTTAAAATTCATCAAGATTTTTATTAGATTTTGTTGTAATGATTTCAAATATTTCTTTCCAACAGAGGAATAGTTATGTTTTGATTGGGCATAATGTACATGTAGAAATTAGTTTGGTGTGTGTTTTCTTTCTTGGTTTATAAAGTTCACTGTGCATGTACGGTAATGCATTGATTTTGTTTACCAGTTTTGATGTATGTGTACATGTATATTCACCACTTTAAATAAAAAATTTTACGCCTTTCTTCCACAGCACTAAACAGAAAACGAGAAAATGGCAAAGTGATCTCATTTTAACGAAGACACAAATGATTGGACTGCTAAGTTGTTGAAAATGTCTGAACCAAGATTTTACATACAGTACATGTGCATTGTATTACATGTACAGTATTACATTATTAGAAAAATCAATGTCTGGTCTCAGTGGATGTGTAGTCTCAAAATGTGGCTGATCTCATTTTGTAAGAGGACTGTACATACATGTACAGGTACATGTACTTAAAGCTGCATGTGGTTTTGAATGTTCATGTTATTTGTTACAAGTGTTGCAGTGTGACTTTGCAAAGATTTGATTGAATCACCCCCCCTCCCATCCACCTTGTTTAGGCTGTCAGGAGAAGGTAGCAGACACCTCCCCCGTGTCTGCCCCATCTAAGACATCCATCCACCCCTATCCGTCAGCCAAACATCGCAGCCAGAGTCCCCCCTCTGGTTCCCCCAAGATCCCCCCTGGAAGCCCCCACTTCCAAGCAGCCTTGATTCAGACTGTCCCGGATGACGGTGAGGCAGTTATCCACGATGCAATCCCTAGCGTGGAGACACCCCTGAGCACCGGGGACGATGTAGCCGGAATGTCGTATCGCGCTCCCGCCCAGCGCCACTCCCCCGTCACGGTACAACGTCGGTCTTCCTCCAGACCCTCCTCTCCAGCTAGACTGGTTACCCCATCTTCAGTTACCAGACTGTCGCCGCCGGCTGTTTCTAGAACCCCCCATCCGCCAGGTGGCTACTCTCGCACTGATTACGTTCCATCTGTCAGTCGTACATGTACTTCATCTCGACGATCTGGAATCTTGGATGATAGCCCAGGTTAGTGTACCAGCAAATGCCAGAAGAAGTGCCAATAAGCCCAGACCAAGACCTTGGTGGAGCTCTAGGCACAGAATTTGAAAATTAAACCAGCGGTGCGTCCTGGATTTGTTATGGGGGAGAGGGATTGGACTGGAATTTAACCCCCAAAATAGCTCATGATTCTCCCTGAATCCACTTTATTTGTTAACACTAAACTGTAAAATAGGAAGGATTTTGCTAAAAGTAAATGTATAGCTTGAAAAACATTTTTCACTTTGAAAAACTGGGACATGACTTTTTGATCTGTAACTTACAATGACTAAAGGAGTACAAGGATTGTAAATTATAATTTTATACTTCTGTGGATCACTTTCATTTCCACACATATTTACTTAAAATTGCCTCACTTTCATTTCAAGATGGCTGGCCTTGTGAATATCCGAGAAAGGCTATTGCCAATGTTGTGCTTACAGTGTTAGATTAATCTTCTGACTATGGCAGTGGTATCATTGGGCAGTGGCCCTCACTGATGGCCGTTAGCATTGTATGGAGCCAATGTTATGTGACAGTCGCTCCATACAAACCCAACACAAAGTTTTCTGCCATTAAGGGAGGTCATCAGGAATGTCAAGTGAAATGTCATTGGATTCATCTATATTCCTGTCTTTAACCCCTTGTTTTGCAGCTGAGAAGTCTCGCTTCTCTCGCTATGGAGGCACGGACATCAATGCCAATTCTCGCATCGACCCTTTGTCCAAGTTGTATGGCAGTCGGCAGGCCTCGCCAGCAAAGATTCCACAGCAGACACGCCAACAACCAGTGCGGGCTGTCCATCCATCAACAGAGGTAAGCTGCCCAGTGGTAGGGCGTACTTAATCCGCACAGATCCAGATCAGGTACAGTGATCCGTCGTTGGTTCACAGACACCAGAACCCTGGGAATCGATAAGAGTGAACCAACCTTGTGACCACTGATTGAGAACACAATCCTTGTGAAACAAACACCAGGTTTCATACCCCAATGCTCGTCAGTGTTCTGGTCAAGTATCGGTACTGCGACATTCTGCAAGAACTTGGGCATTTTCCACAAAGAGGGGATGTCAAGACCACGAATGTACATGTACTTGTGGAGACTTGCAAACCCTCTGAGCAGTTGTGAGTGCATGTCTTGGGAAGAACATGTCCTCAGCTACTGTGCAGCAATGATTATCTTGTAGGACACCCTGAATTGGTAATGTACCTGTAACCTATTATGTTCCATCCAAGGGGTGTATTTTTGACAGGTCAAAATACTCAAATAATGTCCAACAACCAATATAGAAAGAATTGTTGGTTATGATTGCCAAAATGGCAAGTTTGGCAAAAATAAAAAACAGTTTTGTCCCTGTGACATGTTTTCTGAAAATGTACATGTGGGCAGAAAGGAAAAAGAAGTTTTTCTCACACATTTGTATACACTGTCAGTGTACATATAAATGTTCACTGGTTAAAAGTATCAGCCAGAAAGGTCAGATTGACTTTGTTTAAAATAAAACAAGCAACACTTTTTAAACGTTGTTTAGATGTACATACATACATGTTGTGGTGTGCATAAATACACATGGATCTGTTGAGCATTTTTATGGCACATCCAAAGTACAGTTTTTCATTTTTTCTTTATTTCCAAGTTCTCATTTCCCAACACTATCATACTGTCAAAATAAAGTAGGTTTGAAAACAGAAAATATAACTTTGGTTTCACCGTATCGGTCTTGATTGCCAAAATGTTGCCCTGCACGTGCTATGTCAAGTGCACGTACAAGGATGGACCAATTAATTGCCTGGGAGCTTCCACAATTCCAACAGTGTCTGCGCGTACAGTTACTTTTCTTCTGTAACTCGATCCTTATTGTCAGTGTTGTCTACTGAGCTCATCAGCAATGGACTCTGTCCATTATGCTTATGCAGTGTACAGGCTGAATATCAAAATGAATGGTTGGACAAAGTGATTAATTCTGTTCAAGCAAGCTTTTCTCATTATTTCATCCAATCCTCTTGTAGTGCATTAATCCCTCAGGGTTGAAAAGATTGTAACTCAAGAATCTCCTCTTTCTGCAGACGGTTAGTAAAAGCTCCAAACTGTCTCATCGCTATAGCAACCATCGTAACTATAGCACAGAGGATGACCTCAATGATGACGTCATCAATCTCCATATTAATGACACGTCTGGATCCCTGTCACCAGCCTCCACAACATCCAGCAGGTAAAGTTGTTTCTCCTTTCAGCTAAGTGAAATAGTCAGTCAAGGAATTTATCATTTGTTACTTCTTTCATTAAACTATGTATTATTGGCAGTAGTTCATTTAAATATAAAGAACTGCCTTGCAACGTTTTTACATAGAGGCAGGACACAGAAGGAGTTGCAACTCTGGCACATCAAAGTGTTCAATGATTATTGCTGCCAAGTCAGACAAATAATAGAAAACATTCCAAAAATGCTCGTTTACTGCCTGCCTCTTTGCCAGACAAGTGGGACCAGTGATATCCTAGCAATACTTGTAGTGTTTTGCTTGCAATGAAATAAAAATTTTTGCTGTGACCAGGAAAGAGAGAGACAAAAATCTCCAGTATTAGACCTACATGTACTTTTGCCATCGTGAATAAACTTTGTGAAGTTTGATACACCGTTCCATTCGTGTAAAGGTTTTAATTTCATTCCCCTCCCTCCAATACATCAATTTTCAAAGTCTTGGTACGAATTTGGCTGAGACTGGCCAACAAAATGTGGACTACTACTTGAAAGCTAAGTTCATTAGGAACAAAATGCACTTTTTTGTCAAAGTGAGTGCTTATGAAATCTCATAAAATACGCTTTTGTACAAATGCCAGAATAAAAATGATTCAAATCAAACAAAATCTTGTAAACAATGGGGCTATTTATTCCCAAAATAACTCCAGAAGAAAGTTCTCATTAAGGGTAATGACTGCACATATAGATTTAGGGCACACAGCATAATGCATACAACTGTGCAAGCATTAAATTAGATGTTGTAATGAGATCATACCAAGCACCAACAAAGGCATAGATATTCAATTTCCATACCTCAGTACATGAAGTTTTAAGGATGCAGATTACCAGCCACAAATCGCGACGACGATCATAGGGTACAAAGGGGTTTCGTGGTTGTGAAGCAGATGGTGTGTAGCAAACGCTTGATGCGCTGGAGGTGCTCTGGCTATGGACATACCAGGCATGCCAGATAGTGGTCGGCCAGATGTTATAGCCTGGGCAGTTCAAACTCCTTCGGGGTCCTTCCTCTACCGGTATAGTTTTTAACTGTTTGTTCTGAGCAGGCGGTCCAGTTTCACCATGGGTCAAAGGTCAAGGGGCAGTTCATCCGACCTTCGATGCCCACCTATTCCTGGTGCCTCACCTCCAACGAGTGCAACCACACCCAAGGTGACAAGGCGTGTCTCTGGATCTTATAACACTGAATACAAGGTGAATTTGGAAGCAGTGTAGCAATGTTATTGGTTTGGTGTTAGGACGGATTGTATTGAGCTGTTAAATGTAATTGTTTTTTTTATGAGCAATAATGTTCTCTTTGGCTTTGTTCCAATTACATTGTAATGACTTCAAATATTACATTGGCCAATGAGTGATGGAGCCATCGTCTAGAAACCAGATCCATTTACCTTAAGTTTGAGAAGCAGAATGCAGGTTTTATTTCCTTAAAACCACTTCAGTAGCAAGAATTGCTTTGCATTGGTTTGAACTCTCTAGTCGAAATGGGAAATTTGATGGTTTCAATCACCACCTGCTGGTTTGAAGGAGTGTGTTTAACCCTTAGAAGAGCCAGTTTTTTTCTGACCATCTTCAACAGGTGGTTATGTTACAGTCATTTGAAGTTTTCAGTCTCACGCATGCTGGCCAGTGTGCAATGAGCTTAGCATTGGGGAAATCATACGTTTTGCGACCTGTCTCGTTTCAATGGGCATTTTGCAAGAACTGTAGGCTCAATTTTCACAAAATTGTGAAAATGAGCACAAAATAGTTTTGTAAAAGCTCCTGAAGGCTCATGGAAAATTTCTGGCAAAAATATTGGAAGAAATATGCCTTGAAGAGACAGAACATGCCCTTCTCTCACCCGGCTCTTTAGGGTAAAACCAGCCCCATGAACTGCCACTGGAAACAGGTTTTCACATCCTGTGGCTTCTGTGGCTCAAACGCAGCGTAAGAGGCGACAGTAAGGTCTCATTGTCACTGATTTTCTTGAAACTCTCCTCCTGCAGCCCACCTTTGTCAGTAATGCGTCTCGTCCGCCCCCTACCACCAATGGCCCTAAGGTCCCATCTGTCTCACGTACCAAGGCCAGTTCCATCCTGGAGGAATCCAACAGTGAGAAGGTGAAGGAAGAGGAGCCACTCCAGTCTGCCTTCAGCTCAGCCGAACACTCTGTTCTTGGCACCGTACGTAGATGTGCATCATTACTGACATCGACATAATATCAGATGTTCCATAGGGTTGTAACTGAGTCCATCTCTCGTGGCTTTCACGGCATGGGTGTTATTTTCATCCATAGCCATAACTTTCAGACATAGCCGTACATTCTCCAGCTCACAATACCAGTCTGTTGTCAAATGTAAACTTCTTCTGATTGTTTTTCTTTCTTGTAATTATTCTTTAATTTTGTTGGTTTTGGGGGCAATTTTAGGGAAGAACAGGAAACACCTACAATGGAAAGTCTGTCAATGGAGGAATGATTGGACTAGCCAACCTGGGCAACACGGTGAGTAACTTGTTTACCATATAAGACCTGCTGAGCACTGGATACCAACCAAAATATCACATGGTTATAATTGGTTTTGACTGGCTCCCAGCTGATATCAGCGACGCCATATTTTTCTACAGGGCTCCATGATATGCAAGCCAGGTTTGTAATAGGTTCGAGTCCCAACTGAGTTAACTCAAGATTTTTTTACGTACTCTTAAAAGTAGTAAGCATGTAGTCTAAATGTCAAAATCCCATTATAGGATGGGTGAAAACTCATGTAGTTTTTCCGCTTGTCTCGTTGGCAGTGCTACATGAATTCCATCCTGCAGTGTCTAGCCCAGAACAAGGACTTGAGAGAATACTTCTTGACAAATACCTACCTTGACGACATCAACCGTAGATCACCTAGACAGGGTACCCTTGTCAAAAGTAAGACCCTTCTCTTTAATCCTGGAATCTTCCACAGAGTTGATAACTAAAGAAGTCCGTTCAAAAATATCTGCTCTGTCTGATTAAGTTAGGGTTGTGTGACCTAGTGGTTAGAGGAACTCCTGATCATAGGGTCCGGGATTCGAATCCAGCTGCTAGCATGCTGCAACATTGGGTAACTCACTTTACCTCAACTTGCTTCTGTCCACCCAAGAGTCGAAATCGGTACCTGTGAGGCTAGAGGCTGGACAGAGGCTGATATTAGCTTGCAAAGTTGGTCTTAAGGCCTGAAAACATGGGCAGTAATAATTCTAAGAGTGCTTTAAGCAGTTTGACTACTAGATATATGCACTTTGTGAATAAATGGTATTATCATTGTTTTGATGGGTTGTACATGTGAGCCATCATTAAATGTATTGTAAAAGTATTGAGAAGCCATTTTAGTTCATTTTGGTGACTTTTTATCAATTTTTTTTTTTTAAAGGTTTTGCCGAAGTAATGAAGGAAATCTGGAATCCCAAATATAAGAGCGTGGTGACTCCTAACAGCCTGCAGTTAGCATTCCAGCGGATCGCAAAACACTTTGGTCCTGGAAAGTAAGTACTGAATGAAAACTATAGATGGTGCTAAATCTAGGTCCGGTCAGAGAGAATCATTTTGCAGTTACGGCTACGCCCCCTCGCCTTCCACCTCTGCTGCTTGGGTTCGATGCCCACCCAGGCGGAAATGTGGATTGGGGTTTGGAGTCCTATCTGACTCCCTTCGTTTCTCTGGAATATTTGTCTGCAGTTCCCCCCCCCCCCCGTCCAAACAGAACACTTCTCTGCCGTCATTTTCCTCAAGTCCCCGGGGAGCAGTCCACATGAACCTGTAAAGGCCTCTTTGATCATTAAAAACAAGGAATAAATTTATTAAACGGGGGTTTTTCAGCGATTGTCATTTTGCATGAATAAACGAAAGTTACAGCACTGTTCTGAGTCTACCCTGTTGTAGATGAGACTGCTGGTAAGTCAGCTTGGTGTAGTTGTATTAGTCTGGACTTCCACTTCTGTGACCACAGTGCGAATCCCACTCAAACAAATTTGAATTCTCCTTGATTCTGCAGATCAATCCCAAAATATCATTTGACTTTACTGCCATTTCAAAAAATGAACTAATGTCTTCTATCAACCTTTTGATGCATGTTCCTTTGTGTTTATGAGTTGTTTCTTCGTTGTTTCTACAGGCAGCAGGATGCTCAGGAATTCCTCTGCTACTTCCTGTGTGAGCTTCATGACGAGACAAACACCGCTCCAAGGAAGAGGGGCAGTGAGCCAGACATCCCAGATGATATCTCGTAAGTTAGACTCATCCACTTTCAACTGAGTTAATCCAGACTCGTGACATATACTCAGTGACTCATACTCACTCTTACAGGGAGAATTTGAAAGTTAGACTTCTCCACTTTACACTCAGTTTACTCTGACTCACAACAAATACTCATGGACTCAGACTCATGGACTCAAATATCGCTCCAGAGAAAGAGGCGAATAGCTAGAAATTACTGCTGATATCTCTTGTAAGGAAGACTCAACCTCTTTGAATGTTGTTGGCTTCTACTTACAACAAACTGACAGTGACTCAAATTCAAGTTCATCTGAAGGGAGATTATGGAACTCATGCAGACACAAGCCCAAGGTTGGACTCAGATTTAGTTGTTCAACAAATTCAAAATCTGAGTTTGTTTCAAGTCAGTTGTCATGGTAAAATTGGGTGCAAGTCCCTCTCAACTTTTGGTGTTGTTAGCTCAGTCTCAAACAGAAAACCAACTGAAGGCTACAATGCTATAGATTGTCTTGTTTTGTTGTTTGGTTTTAATTTTGGGAGTAATTTAATTTGGAGTAATTGATTTCTACCTTGCCTTTCATTTCTTTCCCAATCATCTATGTAACTCAACTTGGTTTGTGTGTGTTTCTCTTATCTTTGTTTTTCAGTGAGGATGCAAAGGCCAAGTTGGCTTGGGGACGTTACTGCGCTCACAACAACTCCATCTTCTCCCGCCTCTTTGTTGGACAACTCAAGAGCACCTTGGAATGCCAGACTTGCAGGAACCGCTCTGTGACCTTTGACATCTTCTGGGACATCTCTCTGCCAGTTCCCGAGGTCAGTTATCCACTTGTATTTCATTGCTGTCAAAGATGGCTTGCGACTTTCAGGAAAATCATTGAATTCTTTCAGCTTTGGCATGGCCAAACCAAAGATGGTTTTGCCTTTCACAGTATGTGTTTAGTGTTCACTCCTACCTGCCTCTTTCCACTGAGAACTATAAATGCGTACACAGAGCTACTTCAGAGCTGCAATGGTATTAGAAATGTTTATTGGCCCAGTGAGCAGGGGTAATAATGATTTATGTACAGTGCATTGCAGCGTCCAGCTGGTACTGAAAGTGGGATTCTAACATTTTATGTGATTAGAATAGTAAGGATATGCCCACAGTACAAAATGCTAGATGTAGCATTATACTGTGGTGGGTTCATCTGCTGAAAGACGGAGGCAGATCAGAACAACTACAACCCAAACCCCAAAACGAACTTTTTATCTAGAGCAGCTACGTCTTTATACCTGGTGGGTTGTTGTTAACTAAAAACAAAGAACCAAACATGTGCTCATAACACTTAAAAGGGAAAAATCATCAGAAAGAACAAATACAGTGTGTAGCGTGGCAAAGAAACCACAAGAGGGCGCTAGCGCGACCAAGCATGTCTGTTGTTTGTGCTATTTACATGAGATTCTGTCTCGAGCACACGCAGCGGTGATGAATAATGCAGGTCAGTGCAGGTCTTGGTGGTGCGAAGGTAGCGTGAACGTACTGACTAGGCAGCGTGTGCAATCAGGTAATAGTAGAGAGATAAACTAGAATTTTTAACTAATTGTCCAGTTTAACCAATACATGCATATGTCGTGTTGTTTTCACAACAGTATTATTATTTCCCTGTTGACTTGGCCTAGAAGCATTCCTGAAATCATCTCGGTTGCCTGCAGAGTACCGGTATTAGCTGCAGAGTATGTACAGTAGAGCCGTTTGAAGTATTACCTAGCTAATCAGTCACAATAACTTTGGCCAAGTTTCTTGGAACATGTTCTGTCCTTGGACTAGGTTTGAGACTGCACCCAATTTTGCGTCGTTACTTAACGCTCTGCAGAAAACTTGTGCTTACTACAGCGTAAAATGTTGCTAACCCTTCACACTCTTTCCTGATGCTCACAGGTTTCCATTGTTACATCACAAAGTTAAGCATATTTTCCTCTGAAGTACAATACATGCTGTTATTTTTTATTATTTCAACCACATCCAACAGCAACCAAATCGGCAATTACAGGATGGTACATGACAATAATTTAAGACATTTAATTAACAAATAAATAATTAACACCAAAAAAATCAAAAATTCAAAAAAAGACATTACAATTCAATAATACAATTAAAATTGCATAGATAACACAAAAGCTGCATATTCATAAAACATTTTACATAAAATTGGATTAATTAGATGAAACTATGTGGTAAAGCTGCTTACGAAAAATTCCAAGGATTGCCACACCGAACACATCACACCTCCCATGGAGTCGGTTGTAGGTCAAGGAGATTCTGGAGACAAAGCCACAAAGACTGATAACAGTCTTCATGAAACAGTGCAAAATTGTTTCTGCTGTGGTTATTTCATGCAAAACCTGGCCACAAAATTCTCATGTTCGGTTTGTTGTAATTGCCTACAGCAGGTAAAATCCTACCAACGTCGTGCCAGCTGGGAACGTGACAACCAGTCAGTCAAGCATTCCTTTGACATCAAGGACTGTCTCAACAAGTTCACAGAGGCTGAGGTACTAGACGGGGACAACATGGTGGTAAGTTGAACAAGTTGGTCTTTCATGGTCCATCTGGATGCTCTTTAGTGTCATAATTGGATTCTCATTTAGCTCTCTAAGCAATGAAATACTTGCTGAGCAATAACAGGGTACCAGCCGTAGCATCATGTAAATGGATGTCATTGGTAACTGGTTCACAGCTGATTCCTACGTAGTTCGTATATGTAAATTTGTCTAGCAATTTCTTTTCCATTTCAAAAAAAGGTCATGTTATTCAGCCAAGGATAGTCAGAAGTCTCAAGCAAAAAAGGCCTAGACTGATATCAGCCCTGAATGGTGCCCAGCCCAAGTTCTATCAGTAACCGTGTGCAAATCACCGATCAGTTTTAGCTGGTTACCCACACAAAAAAATATACTTTGGGTACCAGGCAGAATCAATCATACAGTTGCTGTTTGAACTTGGCTCCAGACATGAGCCTTAGATTCTAGCATACAATTTGAAGGTGTTAGGGGTACTAGACTCACACCTGGACTAGGAAGTTTGAATTCAGTACGGGTGGTTTGGCTGAAGCAGACTGGTGGGCTACATCTTCTGTATGCAATCCAAAGACAGCCAGATGCAGGTGAGATACAGAGTGTATGGTTCATGACAATACCATCCAATATCAGTCAAAGGCTGCCAGGAAAGTTGATACCTAACAGTGAAAGTAAAGTAGACTGGTACCCAACATCTTCTGAAAACTCTGGAAAAAGTGAACCAGTGTAAAAAATAATGGCATTTAATTCTTTCAAGCAACTCCGTTCTTAGCCTACATCATTTGCCACTGTGTAGCAGGGAAATTGCCTACAGTGAAAGCAACTCGTGTTTTTTCTCTCACGATGATGAATACTTGCCAGTTTTTAAATTCTCGAAATGATGTCATACACCACTCCCAAATTAGCCTCATGTGGGTAATTTGGTCAGTACGTGTTAATCTCTTTCCCTTAATTCTTGACAGACCTGTGAGAAATGTAAGAAGAAGCGCGTCTTCACCAAGACCTTCTCCATCCAGCGCTTCCCCAAACATCTTGTCCTCCGTATCCTTGTAAAATTACGTGACAAGACTGACACAATATCACATGCAAAAGAGGAGCTTTAAAGTGAAAAGGAACATTTTCACTGCAACAACTTCACATTGTAAGTTTGTTCGTGGCAAAAATTGTAAAAGCTGGTTGTTGCTGTGGCTTGAATGTACAGCAGAATAAAGGTTAAAGTATTCCTGGACATTAGTCAATAGTCCTTGACTGGTGACTGATGCATGCAGATCTGAAGCGTTTCAGTGGTCTCCGTGCCAAGCTGACAACTTTTGTGGACTTCCCGTTGACTGGCTTGGACATGTCTCGTTATCTGGCAGACAGCGCAGGTAAGTCACACATTGATCTCCCGTCCCCCATCAAATCCTCTTATTTTTCTGCTCTGGTGCACTTCATGTTGTGTGTCTTCATTTGTCATCTGCATGCTTATGGAGTCTTGTAACTTGAACCGATAGTTTTTAATGGGAGAATAAATGAAAGTTCGTCATTTGAGTGTTGAGAGAAAGGCTAAACATTTCATTTGATGTTTTGTGACTCGGATGACACCAAAGACTTCCTTGTGTGTTAGAGGAAAACCAGAATTCTCACCACAAAATGCTTGGGACTCGGCCATTTTAACCTCGTACAAATAGCAGTGTTGTAGTCGAGACCATCACAAGACGAGACACAAGACCGGTCACAAGACCATCACAAGACCAGACACAAGACCAGACACAAGACCGGTCACAAGTAACAATGTGAACAATGACAAAGGAATGCTTTTGTTGAAGTTCATTAAAATAGCTTATGACTTGAATTCAGACTGGAGGTCTAGTGTTGGTCTTGTGTGGCCTTGTGAAGGTCTTAAGTGGTCTCGACTACAAAACTGACTTCATGTAGTTGAAACGTCTAAAAATGAACCAGTTGAGCCTCTGTTACCTTCATGTAATCATTTCTGACCATCACCTTGAAAGTTAACAATTCTATTAACCCGTAGATAAGTGTGCTTGTCTCGCTCGGTGGAAAATGCTGTGCAAAAACAGCATAAGTCTTAAAAGAGCTTTTACAACAAAAGTGCGAGGGGATTCTACAGTCAACTTCTCAAACAAAAGCAGATTGAAAACTCCACAGTGATCATAAGTAATGCTGTGATTACTGTTAGTGAAGATGCCTTAGGCTTACAGTTTTATGACGATTAAAAGGGGACACAGCGTCATCTTTTGCAACATTGTACATTACTGCAAATATAATTGCTTTTTTCTGTCGATACCCTCTCAAGCCTCAATTTTGCATCATCACACGCATGTTCAGTATGCTTTCGAAGCACTTTTTCTTGTGTGTAACGTTTCTTTTCATAATTTCTCTGTTCACTTCGTGCTAATCCATGCTCATTAATTCTCATATCCATAATAGTCAGAGTTCCACTTTGTAAATTTGGTAAAATTTTAAATGATAGCCAAAGTTTGTGTTCCATGTACATGTACAATTTTGAAGCCACATACCTCTATGCCGTGAAAGTGTAAGTTTGTCTCTGTCACTTAGGTTTTCAGCAACAAATTTTACACATTTGCATTTGAAGGAACAATGGTCGCTATCACCTGGAACCCTGCTACCAAATGGGACCGAATTTTCTGAAGTCGTAGCTAAACCATTGCTTCATCCGTGCATGCTTGCATGTTGGCTTCAGAATCCTTGCACTGCAAACTAACTTTCTCATCAATTACTCTGTTGGCTGTGTCTTGTCACTGTCTCTTTTCCATCCCTGCCTTTTACATGTCTATTAACCCAGCTGACACCGGCCTGCTCAATCTGACCACTGCTATCAACCACATCGAACCACTTAGTCACGATCTGTTCTATTTAGTCTGGAAGATGTGTGGTACGCCACCGGTCGTAAGCATGGACGAGATGCTGTCCCTTCAGGATCAAAAGAGTTAGTCCATGCTCAGTTAAAAGCCTTCAATCTCTCGGTGCTCAAAGAACACTCTTTAACCCTAACAGGGCTAAATCCTCCAATTTTAATATGATATTTACACACACTCTTGGGAGAAACGTCTCCTTGATGTCCCCTGCTGCAACCACAGCAGGAAACAAGAAAACTTGAACTATCCACAAATTTGCCTGAGGGAACAAAAACTTGTGATCTCCGGACATATTTCCCAGAAATGATTGTCCTTGTCAATGGGTCACCAGTTCACTTTGCGAATGTGGAGGGAATTTCTAGGGCAAAATAAAAAGGGTGGTGGACGTTACATTCAGGAATAATATGCATCAAGAGTGTCCCTATCCGCTCCGAGCATGAACAAAAGAGGGCGTATTTGGAAATGAAATTGAGAGGCGCGCAAGTTTATGTGCATTTGATGTGGAGCACGCCGAGTATGTGCAACAAATTTAGTCTGAAATGTGTGGTCTTCGCGTGCATGCTGAGCATGAGCAAGAACCCGGTTGGAAAACTTAGTACCCTCTGTCTTTCTTTCGCGGATGAGGGTGCACTTCAGCTCAGGGTGGATATGCATGCTAACATTCTTGGTCATTTCCATGTAGTGCTATAGTTATCTGTCTTTCCTTTCATTTTACCGTCAAAAGTAAATGCAAGTGTTGAAGCATGTAGACAAGATTGATTTAAAGATTTGAAGAAACTAACTCATTAGCTGGCTCAATTCATCGGAAGCCAAGTCATGATTATAATCATTTAAAGCTCACTTTGAAACAAATGGTTTTCCCAGTTAAATTTATCAAACATTTATTCATCTAGTAAAAGGAAGGATTCATTTTCAAATGGCAAATCAAATCTGTGGAGTACTGCTATGTTTTCATGTTTGCTTGGAAGAGCTGCAGTTTCCAATCAGCATTCCAAATATTTGTTAAGTCTGAATCTAAAGAAACTATAATTTGCAATGTTTTCATTTTGTAACAAAACATACACACTAAAAAATATTTGCTCTTAATAAAATGTTAATAACTGGTGTACAAAATGCATTTGCGTAGTCGAAATATTTGATGCCATTTTGGAAAAAATGAAGGTTATTCAGTCAGTACTCGGTAGAATTTGAAATTATTTTCCGTATGAAGTTGGTTTCATTGACTGATTTATTTATTCCCAGACAATCCTTCCCTGGATCAACTCAGCAGTCAGTACAACCTGGGTGGAGTCTCACAACACTCTGGCTCTATGCTAGGGGGACATTACATCGCTTATGCCAAACACCTGCAGAACAAAAAGTGGCACTGCTATGATGATACCAGGTGAGAAGGATTGTAGAGCATTGTACCACAGAGCATGGCTTGATGCTATGACTCTACAAACTAGAGAATTGAAGGGGTTAGCAATAAATCACTGTTAGAAGACCGAAAAAAACGGAAGTGCACACTGCATTAAAGTGCCCAAATTGTGTTACCCACCATATGGCAGTCAAGTTACCATACATTGTCCACACTTGTAAAATCATAACCTATGTTGGACACTCCCATCCTGTCAACACATGGGATGGCCGCAATAATTTCAAATTTCTTCATTCAAATTTCATTAATCTCACGCACAGGATGTTTGGTGTCTTCAAAGCACAACCTGTTAAGTGTCACGTAACGCTGATATCAACCAGGAAGTAATATGACCTTTTTGGGAATATTTTGGGGGATAACTTCACTATCAGTTAGATTCTACAACTTTCTAAAATTGTTCCATCGTTATTCCCAACAGAGTGGATTCCATCAATGAGAAGTCAGTGCCAAGCTCCTATGCATATGTCCTCTTCTATGAGCAGGCCAACCAGCCGTAAGCCAATGAACAAAAGGCCAATCTTGCCATGAGGGAGGGAGGGGTAGAGAAAGAGACACATATAACATGTAGTACACCTGTGTAGCAAAGGCAATCAATTATGCAAATGAACCTGTTTCAATTGTAAATTTTGGATTACAGGAGGGTTGGGATTATCAAATCACACTAATTACAGTTTTCATCATACCTCTTCTGGAAATGTTAAAAATCATAGCTACAGGATCATTTTATTCAACAAACAAGTCAACCTGTCAATAGATCAATTTAGGAATCAACTTCAAAATTGCAAAGAAATAAATCAGCCATTCGTACAATTTACATGTACAAAGGATTGAACATTGCATTCACAAGTATAGTTCACTCATTCAAATCATAACTTCTAATACAAAAGCCATCAGGTTATCTTTAAAATCACAGTCGTTGCAGTCAAACAATAGGAATCAAAATTATATTTAGGAAACTTGATTCATTATTCGTGATTAGTCTCCGCTCACCAAAATCAAACCTGAAAGAATTATGCAAAGTCAAATTAGTTTTTCTACAGTTCTGTGTCATCTGTCTACCCCTCCCTCCATTTGTACCTTCCTCCCCTCTTCCACCAAGTGGAACAAGCCAGAACAAATCATCTTGGGTGAGCAAACACATCTGAGGGGAGGTGTACAACCTTTTTTTTTTTATTTAAAATACTTTTATATAAAGATATTTATATATTATAACCCCTTGAGTATGATGGTGCATTGTTACTTTGGGGGAGGTACCATTGCACTACCGTGGGGGGATACTTGAGGGGTATAGTTTTAGTATTTTGTATCAAAGTATTTTATATTTATGAATGGTATTCAATTGTGTCATGTGACCCATAACCAGATATCATATGTGTGTGACCAATCAAAACAAAAAAATTTTAAAAAAATTCCTGCAGTGGAAATTGATGGGGATAAGACCTTGGAGTGGTTTTCTTAACATAAGGATTTGCTCAAAACACAACAAATCCTCTGCAGTAAGCCGTAGGGTTTCTGTTGGAGGTGGGATTTAGTTGTGCTTTTGCCTTTTAAAACAAGTCCAGAAAGTCTTATGTTGGAATTAGCTAGCAATAGTCCATCTTGGCAAGTTGAAAGTTCAGAGGTCAAATAGTTTTTAATTTTCATTGCCATGTGAATCTGTTTTTCTCAGGTTTACTTTTAGATTTGCTTCCTGCATATTTTTATTCTTTCAAGTATAAAATTATTGGTACTATATTATTTTAATTTCCTTTTCTTTTTTTTAAAGTTCTGTTGGACCATATAGTAATACCTCTGAAAACAGATCAAATTTTGGATTTTAAAAAACCGTAACTGTCATTTTTAATTTATTTGTTCCTGCAATATTTTAGTTGTTTGCTTTCTATGTGTTGGATTAGGGTCTGGTAGATTGCTTGAAATGCAAAGGTACATGTTTGACTTAGAGGTGCATTTGGGAGTAGCTTGGTCATTGTGGGCCTTGGATGATGGGTAAAAGGTGAAAATAGGGTGGTAGAGGGAGGGAGAGAGTGGGTGGGGAGAACTGAGAGAGGATGCGGTTTCTGAGTGGGGCTTAGAAAAGTCTTGAATGGGTAGGATTGGTGGTGAGGGAAAGGTGGGGATAGGG